ATAATGATCATCTGTATATCCAGAGTGAAAATGATCTTCTTAAAAATGTAATACAAAGCTAATCTATTATACAGATAATGCAAAATAAAGATCTAAGCTAAAAGAGATCTAAAGGAAGATAATTCAATCAAAATTATTACATACATATAGTGATTATTTGCATGATAATATACTAAATCTAATATATTAAATATATAATAATTATTTGTGTATTCAGAATGAAATTGATCTTCTTAAAAATATAATATAAAACTAATCTCTAATACAGATAGTACAAAATAAAAATCTAACTAAAGGAAAGATAATTCAATCAAAATTATTATATATATTATTAATTTTTATTACTAGTATTTTTATTTAAAAATAAATAATCTTATTTATAAATAAGAAGGATTATTTAATTTTAATTATATTTAGATTTTTTTATAATTATATTACTTTATAATTATATTTTTTAATAATTATATTTTTTAATAATTATATTTTTTAATTATTAATTAATTATAATTAAAAAATCTTTTTATATCTTTTTATTATTATTTAAATTTACTTTTTTAAATATAGTAAATATAAAGATAATTAATTATATTTAATATGGTTTAATTTAATTATTTTAATTAATATTAAATATATTAATTTTAAATAATATAGTTTTTATTAATTTACTTTATAATCTTTATTCTTATTTTTATGAATTCTTATTTTTTATTTTTGTATTTGTGTTATTTTTTTTATTTTTTATTATTATTATAATATAGTTAGATCTTTTTATAATTATATTTTATTATGATTATATTTTTTTATAATTACTTATAGTAATGATCAAAAGTAATAATTCAGAAACTAAATTTATTAATAAAATATATTAAAAATTGAAATTTTCTTTTTGTATTAAAATTTATAATTTTATTAAGAAATAATTTTTATTTTAATGTCAAAATAAAGTTTATTAATTATAATTTAATATGTATTTTTTTCAGGTTTTTTCTGAAAGTGTTATTCTAATTATAAAGTCAGTGCAAAAATTTTATTAATAAACTTATTTTTAATTAGTAAACATTTTTACATTAACTTTATAATTAGAATAACTCTTTTAGAAAAACTCTAAAAAATTGAAAAAATATATGTTAAATTGCAACTAATAAATTTTATTTTAATATGAAAATAAAAATTATTTCTTAATAAAATTATAAATTTTATTATAGAGAGAAAGTTTTAATTTTCATTATATTTTATTAATAAATTTAGTCTCTGAGTCATTACTATTGATCATTACTATATTTTGATTTTTTTAGTTATTAGTAACTATAAATAAAAAAATATTTTTATAATTATATTTCTTTATAATTATCAATTTTGCTTTTTCAAATAAAAAGATTTGATTATATTAATATAAATATTAAATAGATTATTAATTATATTATATTTAAATCTTTAATAATTCTTTATATCTTTTTTTATTAAATTAATAATTAAATAATTTATATATGCTTGTAATAGTCAGTTAAAAAGAGTATTTATAATAATATAAATTTGATTTTTTTGATACTGATTACTAGTTAGTAAGATATTGCAAATTTTTTATATTTATTAAATATTCATACTTCTCTTAAAAATTCTATTTTATATTTTATGTAATGATTATTTTCATTTTAAATGAATTATTATACTATAATTAATGTGTCTAAATTGTGTCTAGTTTGTGTATTATTATGAAATTATATGTATTAAGTTTTTATTAGAATAAATTTAACTTCGGCATAATATTGCTACTTATATCTTTTCTGGATCAAAGTTCTAGAATCTGTGCCCGGTTCCAGATCACATGGTAACAAACCAATAAGAATGCGCAAATCATATATGCTGGCAACTATTAAAAGTTTTTTTTCAGAACTAGGGTTGGGTTAAAGATTAAAAATACGACAGAGGCTATATTTAGTGGTTATATGTAAAATTATGTCATTCACATATTTATTACAAATTTTTCGGATTTGTTTTGCCAGGCTGATTAAAAAATTTGCGCATTCTTATGTTGTGCATGTGATCACGAACCAGGCACAGATTCAATATTCGCGATCCTAGCCATCGATCAAATTAACAGGAGTAACATTTTGGTTAGTTAAAGATAATTATATTAAAGGTGGATTTGTATACAAATAAAACAATTATGAATTACAACTATAAAGTACACCTTTTTTAACCTTTCGCAACTAGTTTTACTTATCTTATTACAAAATAATTTATTAAGAAAATTATTGGGGAAATTAAAAAACAAAGATGCATCGAAAACGGAAGTCGGTGCTACTAAGTCAAAAATAGAAGGGATATCCCTTTAGATAATGAAAATCGGTTGATTAAATCCATCGGTATCTTGAATCATGATTAGTTACGACCGTTCTTGGTTCGGTGTACACATAAATAGAAGAATAAATACAGATTTTCATCTCAACGTTTTTGCAAAATAAAGCAACCTGGTCTGAATGTGATCGTGGAATAAAATTTAAATGAAATACACTACGCATCAATGATGCTTCGTCAAAAAGTCAATCTACTGGTTATGTTTCATTCAAACGGTTCTGAAAATCAATTCAAGATCAATTGTACTTGCAGATATAGGGAAGTGTAATCAAAAATTTTCCTTCTTGATATTAGTTCAGAGGAACTTGGAATGCTAAGCTGTAGAGAAAAGATATGGTGGGCGAGGTCATGATACGACATAAAATATCAAACAATATTCTTAGGATATTTTGAGATGATTGGGATCCTATTCCAAAAAAAGACCGACTATTAAAGAACTTCTCGACTTGATCTCTCCTATCGAAGTATACAAACCAAATATGTCGTGAAGAAATTGAACTGGAAAAGCAGAGATTAATAAATTTCTTGAATATAAAAACAAAAATCCATCTAAATGCACCTTCAGTTCCAAAGGTAGAATTAATTATTTATGTTTTTCATTTGTGGAGTTAAACAGATTGAGTACACATATAAAGTCAAAGAGAATGAAGAAATATCAAATGTCTTTTCAGAAAAACTGCAAATCTATGATGAAAACTAAGACAACACCATAAGAAAATGGTAACTATTTATTTGAACGAATAGAAATAAAAATTAAATTTTTATGATAGAAGGTGATTGAATTTAATTGTTTACTGTTAGATTTTGATTTAAAAAAGTAAGATACGAATAGAAATAGATATGAAGATAGAGGATGAGCAAATATCATCAAGATCTCGAAATTTTTTTAATACAAATACCGTACGGACGAATATCAGAGCCATTCGGAGAAATCCAATATTCGCCATGTCCTCCTGTTTGTTCTGCCGGGATTCTAACCAACGTATCAGGATTAACACGATTTTGGATAACCACGCGATATTCTTGACCATCATAAGTAAATTTTTTGGCATATTTTGCAGCGACTTTGAGATCAGGCGAAGAGTATATACCACGGCCGAACGCGAATCGTTTCCCTTTGCTTAGCTCGTATCCATCTTCGGCAATTGAGTGACAATTGTCTTTTGCGGTTCCATGATAGGAGACCGGCCATTCATTGGTGCAAGATGTGCGACGAAAATGTCTAGAAGTGGTGCCAAGCCAGGCATTATCAGTCCCATATTTATTTAATACTTTAAGTGCCAACCTTTTCCAGCCACAAGGTCGTTTATATTGGAAATTTCCACGCATAAATACATCATTTGCAGTATCGAAGACATTCGTGAAATCGAAATCAAAACGTGGGTCAAGTTGATCTGTATTAAGGAAAGTGTAAGAAAGAACTTGAGAGCTACCACCGCGAAGGACAAGAGCCAAAAACAATGTAGACTCCGCTTTAATATTGTAATCAACAAGTGAACGACTATCTTCAAGTTGTAGTCCGTTAAAAATGAGACGTTGTTGATCCGGAGGAATTCCTTCTATATATTGAATTGATTTTTTAACTTGTCCAACTAAATCCGTCAATTTAGGATAAATATACAACACTTTCCCGGTTAGAGTTTTCACATATATAAGCTGAGGTCGTCCTTGATTAAGGTTCACTCCTAAATTTATAGGAGTTATCGTATCATCGTCAATAAATGTATAAACCTGCCCACCGACAAGGTGTGACTGATGTAACGAGTCTATATTAAGTTGCCCTTTAAACTTATAATTCGAATCAGATTTTTTGTTGAGATAATCATCATATAGAAGTACTTGCTCATCAGTAATAGCTGAAATTGCAGCAGCTAGAAGCGATGCTTTTGACACCATAATAAATAAAAAATATGTAAAAAACTACATTGTGAGGAGAAACGCAAGATTTTATACGTATTCCATAGTGATTACATGTACTATGGTCATACAATGTACAGGTTGTGTGTGTTGCATATACATGAGCTTATTGAGCAACAGTAACTTTTAATTAGAAAATTAACTTTATTATAAAATATAATAAAAATTAAAATTTTCTCTATATTAAAGTTTATAATTTTATTAAGAAATAATTTTTATTTTTATATCAAAATAAAGTTTATAACTTATAATTTAATATATATATTTTTAAGATTTTTTGAAAGTATTATTCTAATTGCAAAGTTATTATAAAATTTTTTTCTAATTAAAAATAAAACCTATTCTGTAAAAGTTTAATAAATCTGAAAAAATATATATTAAAACTATAAGTAATAATCTTTATTTTGATATAAAATTATTTTCTAATAAAATTATAAATTTAATATAGAGAAATTTTTAATTTTTATTATATTTTATTAATAAAATTAATCTTTTGAGTTTAAAATTATAAGAATTATTATATATTATAATTATATTATTAGTTTATTAACCTTATTTTTAAATTTTTCTTATTCTAATTTATTAAATAATATAATCTTATTTTAATTAATTTAATTTTATTTCTATTTCATTATATTTTTGAATTCTTATATTAAAAATAATTAATAATAAAATACTTGATATTCAAGATTGATTTCTGAATTAGTTCAAATATATTATTCAAATCTTTCAGTACTTTATAAAAAAGAAAATTTAAAAAACTAAACCAATAATATTATTCTTTGGAATAAGTTATAAATAATTGATCAGAATTTTAAAAAAGTATTTTACAAAAAGTTATAAGTATTCAAAAATAGGTAGTTTTTATATATTTTTTTCAAAATTAAAACAGCTTATATGAATTTTTGTCATATAAATTTATATTTTTTGTAATTTTATAATTTAGATCTAAATTATAAATTAATAAAATTTATAATATATAATTAGTAAACTAAAATAAAAAATAGTAAATTATAATTATAAAAGAATTATCTTTTTTTATTTATTATTTTCTTTAATTATATATTCTTTTTTTATATTCTCTAATATATATATATATATTCTTATTTTCTCTTTAATTTAGTTAAGAAATAACTTAAATATTAGAAATAAAAGAAATTCAAGAAGAAAATAAATTATTCAATAAAGTAATATAATTAAAAATAGGAAAAATAAATAGAAAAAATAATAATTTTAAAATAAAAAAGAAAAAATAATAAAAAAAGAAAGAGAAAAAAGAAAAGATTTTATTAATAATTATTAATCAAATTATCTATTATTTTAAAATTTTTTTGTTAATATTATCATTATATATAATTAAATAAATTAATTTTATTAGTTAAAATAAAGATTATATAAAATTTTATTTCAAGAAAAATTAAAATAAAATTATATGATTATTAAGTATAGACTTTTAATATTATAATAAATTTTTGTTTAATTATTTAAAATTTTTCATAAATTAATATTATTAATATTAATATATAAAAATAATAATATATAATAAAATAATATATTATAATATTATTTTAAATTTAATAAAATAATAATTAAGTAAATTATTTTTTTATTATATAATTATATATTTTATTTTAAATTTAATAAAAATAAAGATTTTTTTTTAGTTTAGTTATATAATAATAATTTTAAATAAAATTTTAATTATTATAAATAATAATAGTAATAATAATAATAGTAATAATAATAATAATAATAATAATAATAATAATAATAATAATAATAATAATAATAAAATATTAGTTATAAATCGGTATGAATTCGACCACCATTTAAGAAAAATAGATATATATATAATAAAAATAATAATAAAATAAATTAGTTACAAATCAGCATGAATTCGGCCACCATTATTTTTAAAAAAAAATAAATAAATCGGCATATTTCAGTCATCATTCAAATAAGAAAGAAAAAAAAAATAATTATAATATTGGTATATATTCGGCCACCATGTAAGTAAAAAAGGAAAGAAAAAAATTAGTAAATAAAACAAAAAATCGGTTATGAATCAGCATATTTAAACACTTGAAAAAATTTACTATTCTCCAGTCTTTGATTGTTTTCTGCTAAATCAAAATCAGCAAGAGTTTCCAATCATTCACCACTTCCACTTCAACTTTTGCTTCTTATGGTTCTCAGTGATAAACAAAGTGAACGAAGAGAGGTGGTTCTTTGTGAAAAAATAACTACTGTGGGCTGGATTGGAGTAGTGGATGGTTGGATCAAAGGGTAGTCGAAGTAATGAATGGTTGGGTTGAAGGGGTGGTCGAAGTGCTTAATTGTCTGGGCAAAGTGGTGGTTTGTCTGGTCGAAGGGGTGGTCGAAGTGGTGGATTGTCTGGTCGAAATGGTGGATTATCTGGTTGAAATGGTGGATTGTCTGGTCAAAGTGGTGGTTTGTCTGGTCAAAGAGGTGGTTTGTCTGGTCGAAGTGGTGGTTTGTCTGGTTGAAGAGGTGGAAGAAGATGAAGAAGATGAAGAGGATGAGTTAGATAGGATGAGGATGAGAGTTCTGATGATGATGATAAATGAAGGGATGACGAAGGGAGGAGTGCAAGAAGTTGTGATAAAAGACCAGCTTCTGATACCATAGAGGAACCTTTAAGAAAACAAAGAGTTTAATTTTTTTTTCTTCTTTCTTTTTTTTGTTTTTTTTTCAAATTTTATTCACTTCTTTTTTTTTTCTTTTTTTTTGTTTTTTTCTTACTTTGTTTTTTTCTTTTTTCTTAAATTTGTATCTAATTTGTTTTAATAAAT